GCACATGATTTATTGTAAGAATGGGCTACGTAATACCCTTGTAAAAGTATTCTAAACTGTATAAAAAAAATTGAAATTAATTGTGAACATCCTTTCCTTATATAGGACGGTCTCTCCTGTTATGTACAGTATATTATCTTTAGTTTTACAAATATATTCGAATTTTTGAATTTAATTGGATAGAATTAAGAGTAATTTTAAACGGAATAACGGGGTTGACTGTGTGGTTTGTGGCCTAGTACTAGGCCCTATAAATTATTTTAATTTTAATAATAATAATGACATAGCAAAAATCAGAAAACACGAAAATTTTGCATTCATATTATTCGTTTATTTGTCTTTTGAATTATCGAATTATTCATTATTCATTTTATTCGAATAAACTTCCAATGTAATCAATTGCTCAAATTCATAACAAGTAAAACAAATAACTTGAATAAACCCTTATTCAAATAGAAACCCTAATCAAGCAGTATAGTTGTATATAATGATTTTAATTTAGTTTTCCAGATTTGATGACTCAAATAACTCTGATTGCATGCTTGCAATATTTATTACAGTTTTATGACTTTAGGGTGTCAATGCTGAATTGTTGTAGTTCAGATAAAATTTTAATTTTTTTTAGATAAATCTAAATATATTTAATATAGGGTTTCTATTCGAATAAGGTTTATTCGAATTATTCACTTTAATCATTATTAATAACAATTTGAATAATAAACAAATGATAGATAACAATTCGAATAATAAACGAATGATAACTATTCAAATAATAAACAAATGATAACTATTCAAATAATAAACAAATGATAACTATTCAAATAATAAACGAATGATAACAAGTCTAATAAATGAATGATAAAATTCAAATAATAAACGAATGATAACAATTCAAACAAAACGAATGATTTGAATAATTCGAACGAAATTTTTTATTACAAATAGAAACTCAACTCTATTGCAGAGTCACTAAATCTGGCACAATAATGTTCAAACTAAACTAAAATATACAACTACACTACTTGAGGCATCCCTACAAACAATATAGTAAAACTAATAAAAGGGGTCTCTAACTAATAATTAAATGTTGGCCAAACCATTAATCATCAAAAAGGATTATGAATCAATCAATCATGCCAGATTTATCAATTAATGAAAGCATTATTTTTATTTTTATTGAATAATTTTTTTTCATTAAAGGAGATTTCAAGCATATTTATACTTCTTAAAGTATTACAAATAACATGATTTTGTCCAATAAAATAAAATAGAATGATAAATGATGACTAATTGACAATTACTAAAGTTATATGTCAAAAATGTGTCATTGATGATGTCATGATTAAATGATACCTGATGAAATGTTTTTGTCATAATTAATTAAAAATAAAATTTATCTTTCTTGAAAATATGATTAAACAGAAAAATATGGCAATGTAACTCTGAACACACATTTATATTGCACCAATTCCATTTGATTCATTAATGGCATAGAACCTTTTTTTGGAGTAAACACAGCTTAATAGGACAGGTTTTTGGATTATTTTTGCAGGAAAATCAATTAATTAGCTGAATAAACCCTGAACTAGAGATAAATCTGGTTTTCTTTTTATTTATCAGATCAACTCACTTATTTAACTTATCAAACAATTATACTATTGATCCAGAATTAAAAGAGCACAACAATCATGATTGTTATATTTGTAGTCCTACTCTAAGCCTAGAAACATCATCATCAAAATCCATTGCATCTAGCCTCCTCATCATGATATGTTTTCAGCATTTGTCAGATTTGTAGTGTATTTCACAAAATCCTATGGACATCACATATTGAAAATTTATGTGACCATTCCATATCAGGGATGACCATCCTGTTTTGTCTGATTGTGGCCAAGGGAACCCTTTAGAACATGGTTCTCCATTTGATGGTTACAATGGTGTAATCTGATACTTCATGACCAAATTATACAATATTTTTTCCATGATAGAATGTCTGCATGGATTGCATTAAGTGAGATGTTCCTTTTTTCCATGCAGGTAAGCTGTGCATGTGGATCATTCCATAGTTTTGAAATTCGTCATGTTTGAAGAAATACCTAATTCACCATCCCCAGGGTCCTTCCACAACTTGTTCCAGCATATTTCAGTAGTGCAGGTAGATGTGTAATGGGTGATTGCTTGGCATGGTGTTTCCACTTCATGCAAGTGGGTCCATTTGTCTTTGGCCATCATCAAGTTATAGAAGATGTGTGAAGGCCTTACACATTTATTTCTTTTTAAAAAAGGGGGACAAATTCAAAGGCAAGGTTGTGGTTTTTGATAGATGTTTGCATTTTTGATGGCCAGTATCTGTAATTTTGAAAGTTTCTTCTTTCTCAAGCATCAATGTGGCTAGCTATATATTGGAGGTGGTATTTTTTAATGTACTCATAATATTCTTTCCTATTGGGGTAAACATCAAAGAATCCATGTCAGGGTTTCCAAATATGACCAGAAGTTTGACATTGTTTGATTCAACAAAACTCACAATCAGTATACAGTTCACTCTCTCTATAACAAACCCTCTGTCCCTATATGTAATTTCTCTGCTTTTGGTCATTATAGAAAGAGTTTATTAAGATGGTCATTTTAGAGAGAAAAATTAATTATAAAAAATTGAAACAGGGACAAAAGGGAAGTTCATTATAGAGAAATTTTACTTAGTGGTCATTATAAAGAGGGTTGTTATAGAGAGTAGACTGTACTGTAGTTTGTGTCAGTTGGCTTTTTATTTGATAATTTAGGTATAATTTTTATTATATTTAAATTATTCAGATACATGTATTA